GGTAGCGCAGCGTAGCGTTAAGCACTACACCCACCGCTCCTCACACACCACACACGCACACACACAGACACACACACAGACACACACACAGACACACACACACAGACACAGGCAGCACGCTAAGCACTACACTACCGTTCCCCCTACACAACACACGCGCGCGCGTCCATAGGTACACATACACGCGCTTGCTGCAGACACACACGACTTTCAGGGTGCGTACGGCAGTAAACGACTGAAATAATAAAGCGGCAATGCTGTGTAAGGAACGCCTTAGACCCGCATTACACATTTGTGTAATGCGAGCGTAAACACACAAACACACACGAACACATACACAATACACACACACATACATGCAGACACACAGACAGACACATAACACACATACATACACACACATACAAACACAGAAACACATACACACACATACATAGACACACACATACACATCCACAGACGTACATACACACATACATACAGGCACGCAGACATACACAAAAACACATACAAAAAAACCCACATACATACACACACACATACATACACACAAACACATGCACACACATACATACACACATACATACAGACACACAGACATACACATAAACACATACACACATACACATGACCCGGCTTCGCCCGGGACTTGGATCCACCACGCCCGGCCGCCTTTGTCTCCCCAGTGCCGATGTTAATACGCAACACCAGTTACTCGTTTGAGGCTGAGTCGACCTAGGGGAGGTTCAAATAATCGTCACCGGTGGTGGCCGTGAGCGGGAATCGAACTCGGTTCGCCGGGTTGGTAGCGCAGCGTAGCGTTAAGCACTACACCCACCGCTCCTCACACACCACACACGCACAGACACACACACAGACACACGCAGACACACACAGACAGACACAGACAGACACACACACACACAGACACACAGACAGCACGCTAAGCACTACACTACCGCTCCCCACACACCACACACGCACACACACAGACACACACACAGACACACGCAGACACACACAGACAGACACACACACACAGACACAGACAGCACGCTAAGCACTACACTACCGTTCCCCCTACACAACACACGCGCGCGCGTCCATAGGTACACATACACGCGCTTGCTGCAGACACACACGACTTTCAGGGTGCGTAAGGCAGTAAACGACTGAAAAAATAAAGCGGCAATGCTGTGCGAGGAACGCCTTAGACCAGCAACACATTTGTGTAATGCGAGCGTAAACACACAAACACATACAAACACATACACACACATACACACAAACACATACACACGCATACACACACATACATACACACAGACATACACATACACACAAACACACACATACATGCACACAAACACATACACAATACACACACACATACATGCAGACACAGACAGACACATAACACACATACATACACACACATACATACACAAAAACACATACACACACATACATAGACACACACATACATACACACAAACACATGCACACACGTACATACACACATACATAGAGACACGCAGACATACACATAAAGACATTAAAAAAACCCACATACATACACACACACATACACACAAACACATACATACACACATACATAGAGACACACAGACATACACATAAACACAAACACACATACACATGACCCGGCTTCGCCCGGGACTTGGATCCACGATGCCCCGCCGCCTTTGTCTCCCCAGTGACGATGTTCACACACGACAGCAGTTACGCTTTTGAGGCTGAGTGGACCTAGGGGAGGGCCAGGTCCGTTTCAAATAATCGTCAGCGGTGGTGGGCGTGAGTTGGAATCGAACTGGGGTCGCTCAAGCAGCTTAATGACTGTTTGTACAAAGAACATATAAAGAATCGATTATAATAACCAGGCTACAGTCCACATTTTAGACTGCCAGTACACGCAGTCAGCTTCATAAGCAGGCTAGAGTGTACATGATAGAGTGGCAGTACGCTCACCGAGCTTAATAAGCAGGCTACAGTGTACATGATAGACTGGCAGTACGCTCAGCCAGCTTAATGAGTATTTGTACAGTGAACATTAAAGTAATCGATTGTTGGCGCGTTGGGTTTAAAAGTAATATTAATAGCACACATTGTGGTGGGGGTGTAGTGAAGAGTAGGAAAAACTTTGATGAATTTACCTCAGAGTGGCGTGGTGGGTGTCGAGGCCTAGTAGCGTGCAAAGCCTGCGGCCTCGCCTAAAATTGTCGGCTTGGAAGAGGCAGGGTACGGGTGGCGTTCCTTCCCCCCCCCCCTAGCGCTCCAACAATACTGTGTAATGGCTATTATTTAATTAAATACGGAGCTTATGAAAGTGGCGAAGGCGTGGCTAGCCGTTGGCAGGGGCAACCGCCGTCCAATGAAACTGCAGCCCTTGGCGAAGGCGTGGCTAGCCGTTGCCAGGTCCAATGAAAGCGGCGAAGGCGTGGCTAGCCGTTGCCAGGGGCAACCGCCGTCCAATGAAAGTGCGTATGGGCCGAAATACACACACACACACAGACAGACAGACATGAACGATTTTATATATATAGATGGTAGTCACGATGCAAGCTGAATTTTTCCTATCTTCCGAGATCTGACGAGATTCTGGGGCATTTAAGGCGATTTGGTCATCGGCTGTGTGCCATATGCTGTATGCAAAATATATACTGTTCTGTAAAAAAAACACTGATAATTGCTCACTCACCCGTGTTTATATCTGACCGGGCAAGCTCTGACTCACATTTGGCACGGATCCCAGTAAGTCGATAATCACGGTCAGGGTCGACTCAGTTCAATCAACACCATGAGCATCACCAACATAATCGTCATCACAACCATCATCATCGTCATCACAACCATCATCACAATCATCATCGCCATCATCTTATCATATTCAGAGCAGCACCACTTCCTCGGGACACATGTTCCCGGCATAGGCAGGTGGAATTTTTGTACAAGCTCAGGACAGTGGGAAATCAGCATCGCCACACACTCTTTTTGGAAAAAACTAACAGTCTCTTATATCAAACAATAAAGTAATAATCTAGAGCCATTTGTCAATCATCTTCTGTATGAAGGCCTCCCCGTGCCGTGTCGGTCATTGGGTTATTTGTCCTTATCTAACCACGCTGTTAAGTGCGGTCCCCAATGTAGTTGCCTAATATCATAATCGTTCCATTCATTGTTCGCTCCCCTCATCTGCCAGATGGAGTTGGGGAGCACTGCCTTTGCTTTTTCCTTATGACCATCATCAGTCACGATCTACCCACTGCTGAATGAAGGTCTCCCCATGCTGTCGACATCCCTCACGGTCTCACGGCATCGCGATGCAACAATCCATCGACCTCCGCAGTGGCCTCCCTCTTCGGCGCATTCTCTGCTTTGGCTGCAACTTCATCGTTAGTCTCGACCATCGGCCATCCCAGCGAACGTGCAAAGTTAACAGTGTGAGTCTCAGTGTGTACCTGCTCGTGCTTCTTTGCGCACTTCTCAGCTGATGTTCTAATGTCTTCGTGTTAGTCTCCACGTTTCTGATCCGTGTGCGTAGTGGGCGAGTACACTGATGTAACACTCTCTCCTTAATGCGCAACAAAAAACTCCTTCCTATTATCGTTAGTCTATTAAAAAATGTTGATCCCGATCCACCTTCAATAAACGCCTGCGTTTTCTAGTACTGGCCCTCCAGCAGCGTACGTGACATCTACATCAGCTTTTATTTAACAAATGAATATTAAAGTACATTCATTATCCCCTAGCCATTGTAGACAATGAAAAGCCGTTCGATTAAATGGAATTTTAATTCCAAGAATGCACCTCTCCGAGTCCCTTGGCGTATTTTGCCCATCCTCACGTGGGCGCTCAACGCCTCACGCAAATTTATCACGGGCTCAGTCAGCCCAGACACCGTCAAATCTCGATTCACTGTGCACCCACACGTCTGGAGAAGTCCCTGTGTTAAAACATCCGTCATTACCATTGCCTTACGGAAGCCAAACATTTGGAATGCGTCAGATATCGTAAAACAATCGGAAGCTAAGCAGAATTGGAGCCTGGACTATGCTTGGATGCAGTATAACAACGACAATAACAACCGATGTTTACCACGAAGTGGTAGTGACGTCACTACGGCGCTCGTGTCAGGCTAGGTGCAATATAAGCAGGCAGAATTAGCAGCAATAACACCACCCTCACTGACAGCAGCATGACCACCAACGCCAACAGCTGTGCCATAAGCACTATCAGCACCAGCAGTAGGAACAGTAGCAACAGCACCATCACTACCAGAGCAGCATAACTACTAACACCACAGCCACCACCACCAAAAGCAGCAGAGCAATAACCATCAGCAGCATCAACATCATCATCAGCACCATCAACATCATCAGCATCATCCTCAGCAGCAGCAGAAGCAGCAGCATCATCATCAGCATCATCAGCATCAACATAATCAGCATCATCATCAGAACCATCAACAGCATCAACATTATCAGCAGCACCATCATCATCAGCAGCAGCATCATCCGCAGCATCAACATCATCAACATCATTATCAGCCACATCATCAGCATCATCAGCAGCAGCAGTATCAACATCATTATCATCAGCAGCAGCAGAATCGTCAGCAGCATCGTCAGCAGCAGCATCAGCAGCATCATCAACAGCAGCAGCATCAGCTCCATCATCAGCAGCAGCATGCCCCCTTCCCTCGGCCCCCCCCCCTTCCCTCGGCCCCCCGTGCCGCTGCTCCGACTCGGGTTCTACTCCCCGCCCCTCAGCGCTCCCCTCCTCCCTCCTTGCCTCTCTCCCTTGCCTCTTTCATGCCTCCCCTGCCTCTCTGACTTGCGTCTTCCCCCCACCCGCGCCTTTGCCTCTCTCCCTTGCCTCTACCCCTTGCATCTCCCCCCTTTCCTCTACCCGTGCCTCTCCCCCGCTATATAAAGGGATGGACTCCTCTCCACTCAGCGCTCCTGCTTGGGCTCAGCGTGTCTCAGAGCTTCTCTCGGTGTCCACCTCGCTGCCGTGTTTGTGTTTCCCTCTTGGAGTTGTTAATTTTTTTCCAACAATTTCCACTGCCTGGTCGGGCCCCACAATCACCACCACCACAACAACCACCGCCACCAACCACCAATGGCTCCGGGAGCTGTAGAATCGTTGAGAGGGTGGCTGGTATTAGGGACGATCGTCTTGCTCCATGTGTTGTCCCACAACTCCTCACAAGGTAAGATGGGCGCCGCGGTGGCGAGATGTTAACTGCCTCGCTTGGTATACAGGAGGTCGTGGGTTCGATCCCGACCTGACGCCTCTGTGTTTGGAGTTTGCGCGTCTCTCTCCCCATGGTCACGTGGATTTTTCTCTGGGTTTTCCCCTCCACATTTAGAATAAAGATGCGTTTCGAGTATTTGGCTGATCTAGATTTTCACATGATAAGCCACTTCTGAAAAAGAGCTATAGTGCTCAGTGAGCCTTACCTGGTAAAATATTTTTTTTAAGTTCATGAAAGTTAACAGCGACAAAGCGGAGGAAATTCATATGAGTCGAAGAATGCATCCCACCCCCTATGTGCACCACATTGCAATTAATACGTACACGTGTGCGTGTGTGCTAAGTAGTGGTGGTAGTAGTTGTTGCTAATCCGATTACGACGGATTAAAAGCCATGAGAGTATATGTGAGTGCGACAGCACTTGTGCACACACGGTTATTGCGATGGATTGGCATTGAATGTACAGCATGCAGTTTGCTTGCAGGCGTTAAAAAAAGCCTTCGAGGAGTAAATCTGGCTGTAGAACTCTGAAATAAAAAAGAAGTGTCTGGGTAAAATAATGTAATTCTTTTTCTCTCATGCTCCGTAGCCACCTTAGTGGACCGCTGTGATGAGTGGATAGCTGTGTATGACTTGCTGTGGAAATTCAGCACATATTTCCTCTTGACTTCCTAAAATAACAATGAGCCTAACATTTAATTGGGTAATGCTTTTCATAATTCACCCAAGACATGGTTAACATTGACAGCGGTGGAAAATTACATGCTTGTAAAGTTAACTATATTTTACGAATACTTTTAAACATTTGCGTTGCTACATTTTCAGTTATGTTCTCCACATTATTTGTTTACATCCGAAGTTGGATGGGTTCTCGCCTGATTGTAAACTTTCTCTATGTATCTGTGTCATTTATAGCTGGTGGCTTAAATTATTATAATTATGTTTTATTCAATCGCTTTTGCCGTCTTACTCCGTTCCTCGTTCAATCAATGGTGCAGTGGATAGAACATGCCTAATCTTGAGCACACCAATTTCTATTCGCGATGTTGTTTTATAATATAAACTCTTGTTGCCTTTTGATTATTCGCTCAATCAACCCCATCATCTATTTTGGGTAAGATAAAATGATGACCACCTTGTAGGCAGTCAGCAGTGGTTTATCACATTCATAGACCTGTCATCATAATGTGAAATTTCCACTCCTGGTTCAAGAAACAAGCAACGTCCTAAATTAATTGAACCACCGAAACGATAACTTTTATGAACTGTATAAGTCTAGGGATAAACAGTTGTAGTCCGACGGACAGACACTTGCCCACAATGGGAATGTGGAATTTCCACTACGAGCTCAGGGCGCCAGGGGAGAGCGGCACACGCTGCCTTAGATCACACATTAGCTGTGGGTGAGAGCTGTTTTCCATGCTATGTTTTATGGAGACTATAAGTTAGCTGTGTATGCGAGGGCTGTTTACACGCTGTGTGTGATAGAGGCTGTAAGCGGGCTATGTGAGGACTATGTGAGCACTGTGTGTGTGATGGGGGCTATGAGAGCTCACTCAGCCCACCTCCTTCCCCTACCCCTCCCTCTCCCCCCCCTTGCTCCTCCCCCCTTTCTTACCTATGTAATGCGAGCGTAAATGGGGTTGTTGCTGGGCTCTGGTCCAATCACACGACCCGGGGTATTGGGGGGCGGAGCCTGGTCTGCGGGGCGTGTGGGAGGGTCCACCGTTCACCTCAGCTCCAATGGGAGGCGAGGTGAATGGGGGCGGAGCCAGCGGGGTAGTATGGGAAGGCCGGATATGACGATCCGGAAGGGGAGGAGTCAGGGTCATGTGGGGGGAATGTATATAAGTGGGAGCCCGGAAGAGATCGGGGCAGTCGGGGAAGTTAAGAGGCTGAGCCACGTTGGGTGGTGAGGAAAGATCCGCGCCATGGGCCACGTGGCCGAAGGACCTCAGCACGCCGTTGGCCAGCGGTGTGCGGAGTGCGGGAATAGAGGAGCTAACGGAGGAGCGTGCGGGGCACGCGAGAGAGAGCATGCATAGCACGCGAGAGAGAGAGCATGCGTAGCACGCGAGAGAGAGCGTGTGTGGCACGCGGGAGAGAGCGTGCGCGGGGCGCGCGCGAGACGACACTGGTCCAAGAGGAGGCCAGTGGGGGTGCGGAGAAGAACCTGAATAAAAGACAAACGGAGACCAGCATCGCCTGACGGAGTCAGGCGATGCTGGTGTCAGAAGTGGAACGAGATGTCAAAACATCTCAAGAAAAAGAATATACCTGCACCATCTTCAGAAGACGAAGAGGACCTTCCTCCGGCGGTGGCGGTCCCGACCATGGAAGGCGTGGGGGCGAAGTAGCGGCGAGCGACACGACCGGAGTACAAGATGTCATCGGGGCGGCCGGGCCGTCTGCGTCGACAGGTGCCGAGGACGGCTGGCGACACGTGGCAGTCCAGCTTGATTCGCTGCGGGCCGTTCTGCTGGATTTAGTCACCCTGGTCGTGCCAGCGACGATGCCAGATCGGCCACGCGGCGGGCCTTCAAGCGGGGAGCCTTCGGGTGGGGCCGAGCCGTCCACCATTGGGGCCTCTGCGACGCTTCCCACCCTCTCCGACACACGGCAGGACGCCGCGATCTTGGGTGTGGTCGCGGACGAACGGCGGGAAGCCGCCATCTTGTCGCCGCCGCAGCGGGAAGCCGCCATCTTGTCGCTGCCACGGCAGGAAGATGCCATCTTGTCGCCGCTGCAGGGGACGCCTGCATCGGAAGACAGCAGCTCGGGGACTCGCAGCCATCGCCTGACGACGATTAAAGAATTCTCAATTGGAGGAGATTGGAGCGCATTTGCGTGGCGTTTTGAGTCGGCCGTCCGATCCGCCAAGTGGACAGATGCGGAGGCCTTGGAAGTTCTGCCGATGCTCCTAGACGACAAGTCTTTGAAATTCTTCCGCTCCATCAAGGCCGCGAAGAAGGCGACGCTGAAAGGGGAGTTCGACGAAATGGCGGAAGCGAACGAGCCTCCGGACGACGCACACCGCAGATTCGTCCAGAGGCAATGGGCACCCGAGGAATCGCCTGTGGCTTTTCGGGGCGCTGTGCTTGAGCTGGCCATGGCTGCGTATCCAGAGACGGAGCCCGACTTGTTGGAGCCCTTGATACTGGGTAAGATGTTGGAGCTGTCCAAGGACTTGGGCATTCCGATGCCGATATGCGGCCATGAGCTGCAGACCTCACGGTTGGCAGCCAAGTGCCTCGACGCGCAGTTCAACTTGTGCCGTTGGGCACAGGTGACCGCCTGGACGGGGAGCCCGACCATGGAGGGAGGCGCCGCTGGGTGGACTCCGTCAAAGGCCGTCTTCGTGCCGGACGAGAGGGGGCCTGGCGATCTCTCTGCAGCGGCGGCCCAGTGGGTTCCTCGAGGGGGAGCGGAGTCGCGCTCCAGCCCACCGCTTAGGGATCGTCGAGACGGGGGGGGGGGGGGGGTGGTGAGCCGGGCGGTGGACCGACTCGTCGTGTTACCGCTGCGGGCGTCTTGGACACTTCGAGCGGGACTGTCGGAGTCGCCCTCGCCCGTCTCTTCAGCTGGAGTCCCCGGCCAAGGACGCGACATCAACGCCGGAGAGTCAACCATGTCAGGCAAGTCAGTACGCATCAGACACCCGGCAAGGCCTGTCATCTCATGCATCACCGTCGGTATGCGTTCCGGGGGCCTGTTCTAACGGGGGGAATCTAAGGGATCCGCGTCGCTCGCTGACACAGTGGCGGAAATTGGCGCGGAGGGTGGTCGCAGCCACTACTGGGTTGTCGACTGTGCCGGGTTCGATACAAGGGGTCGACGTGCGGATTTTGGTAGATTCGGGCACGTCCGCAACTATCATCTCGGACGTGATATTCCATCTCCTGTCCATTCCACCGTCGCGGGTACGACCGGTTTACGATTCATGTGTTGCGGCGAACGGAGGGAGTATGGGCATCGTTGGTCAGGTGGAGGCGCGTATTTCGGTTGGGGGTGTGTCGGCTTCGGGGACGGTGTTAATCTCCAGGTCCCTCGCTGTGCCGTGTTTGTTGGGGCAAAGATGCCCATTCAGATAAGGGTTGATCAGAATTGTATTGAGTTACTGGCGGGCCAGAAGATTTTCTTTTTGCCGTCGCCGTGGGGACAGTCCGCTCCGGACCGTCAGGTGCAGGCGCTATCCGATGTTTCGGTCGACATTCCACCTGGCTCGCATATGCTTATCCCCCTGCGTTATCGGAAGCCCGTGCCTGGGGTCGAGGGGGCGGCGGGGGTGTTGTTGTCACCGTCCAACGCGGTTACGGATGGCCTGGCACTGGTCGCGGCACGAATGATTGTTCGGCCGGGTCAGCCTCCGTTTTTACAAGTATTGAATGGAGGCGCGGACAATGTCGTCGTGCCGGCCGGAACGGTTTTGGCACATGCTACGACCGCCTTCACGGCCCATGACGATCCGGCCCACCGGGGCCTCGTAGGGGGCGTTTAGGCCTCGACGGTGCAGGACGATCGATGGATCACCGGGTTGTGCCAAGAAAATGCGTCCTTGACTACGGAGCAGCGGGTCCGCGCTTCGCGCGCTGTTGGAGAAATATCCTGATGCCTTTAGTAAAGACGATTTCGATCTGGGACGCACCAGGTTGCTCTCCCACCATATTGATACCGGGGATGCTGCTCCCATTCAGATGAATCCACATCGGTTGAGCCCGGCGGAGAGGGATCATGTACACGGCGCGGTGGATGATATGCTAGCCGCTGACATTATCTTTCCATCCAACAGCCCATGGGGCGCTCCGGTGGTCCTGATAAAGAAAAAGGATGGTAATTTACGGTTTTGTGTCGATTTTCGGAAGTTAAACAAGGTGTCGGTTGCGGACGCTTACCCCCTGCCGCGTATGGATGATTCCCTCAATGCCTTGTCTGGGGAGAATTTTTTTTCCACTCTTG